CTTGGAGTTGGCAAGTGCAGGGAAGGCAGGGAAGACGGACACAGATGTGAGCCTCAGCTCCCCGTGCTTCCCATTTCCCTGGAGTCTTGGTCTTGCTGCTTGGTAGATTTCCAGGGTCTTCTCATGCAGTCATGTTCCCCTGGGCATGAGGAAATGTCCTGATGCATTCGTGACCAGCTGATTCACCACCGTGTGAACCTCACAGAGTACACTCACAAACTCGCCTGGCTCAGGTCAGTCCTGTGATGTGCCCTCCAGGTGTAATCCAGAGACTTAGAAACACAAGATCCATTTCCTTGATGAATCAGCTGTGCAGTTGTGATGTGCATGTTGTTTACAGTAAAGTTTTTTTATAAGTAGGAGGAGTATACTCTTAAATAATGATTAAAAAGTATGTGTAGTTAGTACAGAGTGTGATCAAAAAATGTAGCAAATATTTATTCAAAAATGTATGATAGTAAAAGGCACATTGGCATTAATCCCTCTCAAAATAGTCTCGCTCATTTTGAACACACTTATCCATTGTTCTTGGCACTTTTTGAAGCAGTTCTGCAAGTCCTCTTTCATGACTATCTTTACTTCTACTCTCCTGGTTGCCCTAATCTCTTGAATCAATTCAAGACATTTACCTTTCATGGTTATTTTGACTTTGGGGAAGAACCAGAAGTCACACAGTTCCAGACCTGGTATATAAGGCTCATGAAGACACACTGTCATATTTTTAATAGCTTATTTCATTTGGGTAGCACTCAGCAGGTGCACTGATTGTATTTTTAATCACACCTTCTAAAGACACTCATGAAAGAGGACTTCCAGAACTGCTTCAGAAAGCTGCAAGAATGATGAGATAAGTGTGTTCAAATCAAGGAGAAGTCTTTTGAGGGGAGGTTATAGCCCTGTGTCTTTTACTTTAATGCATTTTTAAAAATTTAAACATACACTGTGTATTTCAGTCACACCTTGTATATAACCAGGGCTGTAGTCCCTTATTATCATTCCAAGTGTTATGTACTACACATAACTGAATGTGCTATGCTTTCATAGGACCTCAGTTTGTTTCCAACATTGTCACTACAAACATGGGAGTAATACATTGTGCCATGATATGAGACTGGCTACCAAGTCAGTAAGAGATAGGAATTTTTTAACTACATTGAAATCTTATGGGACTATTGTTTTCTATGTGGCCCATTATTGAGTGAAATGTTATTAGGTGCATGATGGTATATGTTTTTAGTTTTTTGTCTGTTTTTTTCTAATTGTTCTTGGCAAGAAGATTTATCTGAACCAAACTAGTCTGCCCTAGGCAGAAACAGATGTGTTGCTTTGTGAACATCAGAAAGGGATGATTTCAGTCCCTTGGGACTGAGACTCTGGTGGTCAATCCAGACAAGACTGTCACTCAGGCAACATGAGATTTTAGAGGAGGCAGAGAAGACATTTCACTGTGCCTAGGAGGGAGCAGTGTGAAAGGTGGGAGCCAGAGGCACAGTGCTCTGGGTGAAACAAAAAAAACAAAAACAAACAAACAAACAAACAGTGCTCTGGGTGGCAAAAACGACACCAAGTACAGGCTTGTGGATTGGATGTGTGCTGTGGGAGGGGCTGAGGTGAGGGGAAGCAGAGCGGTAGCTGGAACTGAAGCCAGGAATGTAGGTTTGTACCTGACTGAATCCCAGGCTGAACGCAGAGACATTTTGTAGGCTGGGGGTGATCAGTGCTAGCTGTACCTGCACCAACCATCCTACTCTGGCAAGTCCCTCACCCTGTGTGGTGCTTCCTTTACTCCTATAAGAGATCTAGAATCTGCCTCCTGTACTCCCCAAGCTCCCTGGAGACCTAGTGGCATTTGCGGATGTAAATGTGCTTTGATGGGATTGAAATGTGGCAAAACCATTGCCTGTCAGACTTGTAAGGATCCCACCATCCTCTGGCCTCGTTTGTGAGACACAGGGTGAGACTTCCTAAGTCTCCAGTGATACCAGAGGACTTTCTCTGCCCTGGCACCCACCATGGGGCACTGGGCATCGGAGACCATCTCAACACACAGAAAATCTCCTCTCTTCATAGTAGATTGTGGGTAGCTCTGGGGGGCCCTGATTCTGGGAAAGTCATCCAGTCCTTTCTCAATGGAAATGTGCCAGGAACTGAGGAGTATGATCCCCCCACTCCTCCTCATGGGATTAAAATTAGGTGTATTATGCCTCCTTTACTTTCCACCTGCTTCTCCTGGCTTTGCCTTTTGGAATATGTATCAATTAACTTTGTGTTGCTGTGATAAAACACCTGAGAATATCAATTTAAAGGAGGAAAGGTGTATTTTGGCTTATGACTTCACAGGTTTCAGTTCATGGTAAGCTGGCTCCATTGTTTCTGGGCCTGTGGTGAGGCAGAAACATCATGGTAGAAGGGCTAGGTAGAGCAGAGCTACTCACCTCATGACAGCTGAGAAGCAGAGAGAGAGATAGAGCCAGAAAGTAAGGGACTGGAGACAAGATGAACCCTTCTAAGTCCCACCTCTGTGACCTACTTTCTCTAAGTAGTCCTTTCCTTCTAATAGCCCATTCAGGTAAGCACACAACAATGGATTAACCCACTGATGAGAGATCAGTACCCTTGTGATCCAAGATCTCTCTAGACCGTACCTCTGCACATTGCTGCATTGAGGATCCAGCCCTCACTACATGAGTCCTAGGAGAACATTCATTTAGGATCCCACATCCAAATTTATTTTGTCCTTCTTGATCACACCTTCAATTCTTTTAAGACGATCTTCCCAATCTCTGAGTGCTGCAAGGACCAAGCAGACAATGTCTCTTGCTACATGACCTTACTCTGGAATTCATATGGTTGACTCCATTGGGTGACCATAACAATGACCATAACTCTGGAATTCATATGGTTGACTCCATTGGGTGACCATAACAATGACCATAACTCTGAAGATTTAAAACTTTCATTTAGCAAATGCTCCTGTGGTGCTTATGAAGGACCATTCATTTAATCTTCAGAATAATTCTGTTTTTAGATATGATGATATCCCCACCCAGTAGATGAGGAAATTGAAGTGCAGAGAAGTTAAGCATTTTGTCCAAGTTTGCATATTCTTACACTCGTAAGTGTAAGAATAGGAATTCAAGCTCAGACTACCCGGCTCCAGAGTGTGCTCTTCCCACTCTGCTTACTCTCAGCTCCTTGGCCCATCAGCCCCCCTCTCATTTGCCACACAGAGCTTAATGCCTCCCTCTGTGTCAGGAGCAGCCTGATCTCAGTCCTGAGCCCCTCAGGTGGACTTTATGAAATGGAAGAAAGTTGTTATAGGGCATCTGTGGCTGCTCTGGGGGTAAGATACAAGCCTCAGATGTTCTCTGCAGGTTTAACTTTGGCTAAAGATGAGTCTTGTCTCATGTTGTCTGAGGGGGCTTGGCCGCTGACCTCCTGTCTTGGTGGCCTCACCTATCTTGTTGTACAGAATATAAGGCATAACCATGATAGGCTCAGGAGCATGGGTGGGCAGCCTTCTAAGGAAGCAGAAGGCCTGGTACCTAAAAGCAGAGCACAGCAAAGATTAAACATGTGGGGAGCTGTATTCCTCACTATTCTATCTCTGGAGCATAACACCTGACATCTGTGATTAAAGGAGGAGAGGTTTATTTTAGCTCACGGTTTTCAGAGTGTTCAGTCCATGGCCAGCTGGCTCCAAGGCAGAAACATCATGGTGGAAGGGTGTGATGGAGGAAAGCTGCTCAACCCATGGCAGCCAGGAAGCAAAGAGAGAGAGGAGCTGAGACAATCATACACCCTTCCTGGTCACATCCCCAGTGACATCCCCAGTGACATCCCCCTCTAAACAGGCCCCTTTTCTGAGCATGGGACTTTTGGGGAACATTTTTTATCTGAACCATGACAGGATCAGAGAGACTCATGGAGTGACGCCAAGCATTCCTCTCAGCAGCCCAAAGAGGCCATGTCCTTCTAGTCTGCTTATGGCCAGTGGAAGGAAGGGCCCCTTGCCCTAGAGAAATGGCCAGTTCTTGGAGGACCCTGTCGCACTTCCTGAGGTAGGACGGCCCTAGGGCAGCAATCCCACCTGCCCACAGTAGTAGCTCAGTCCCTTAAACCCAATTACTTCTGCGTTCAGTAAATGTGTCCCCAGAACCTGTATGTTTCCCACTGAGTGGCCAGAGAAGAGTGTGACACAAGCTGTCCTAAGACACTGATAACCAAATTGGGCATGTGACAGTATGGGGAAGGCGCCGAAAGAATGTCTAGACCCTAACCCTGCCTTGCTTGGCAGGAGCTGGCCCTGGAGGCTGGTTTAGTAGGGACATTGTCTGGAGCCCATGGTATTTGAGTTGGGCCTTGGAGGAAAGGATGGAAGAGGCAGGACAAGAGGAGAGTTGCACCCTGTACCCTGCACTCCCATTCAGGGCCACTGCTCTCCCTGTCCCCAGCCCTGGTCCCAAAATGCTGGTCCTCGTGGGCTCCTCCAGCAGGTTCCCTGGCCTCTGCCTTGGGGAGGGTTGGGTTTGCCCATAAAGGGTGCCAGAAAGAGATGAGAAGAAGGGAGGACAATGAAGCCTGGGATTTACTGTCACCCTCCCTGCAGGTGCTGTGGGTAACTGCAGGACCCTTCTGTGGTGGTTTCCTCAGCTCAATCACATGCCAGCTTCTGGAACCCACCTCCTGCCCCACAAGGTCCTCCCAGCCAGGGTAGTGATGGCTCACCTCTGTGGCCAGCCCAGTATGCCCCATCCTTTGTTCGTGCCCCGAAACTCTGCTCACATCTCCAGATGGTGCCCTGCAGGAACCCTGCTGATGAAAGCATTTCAGAGATGTGGGAAGGCCAGTGGGCACACGAGGTGGGGACTTGTGGAGCTATGGGCCTGAAAGGTCAGGTGGGAGTGGGATGGGCTGGCATCCATCCAGGATGTCCCTGAGTGTTGGGCAGGTGACCGTCACCCCACACCCCATCCTAATTCTTCTCTCCTCCCTTACAGAGGCTCCTGCTGCTTCCAGCCCAGCTCCTGCTCCTAACAGCCCCAGAACTCTGTCCGAGGGACGCTTCGGCCATAGAACAGGGATGGAAAAGCCTGTGGGCCCTGGCCTCAGTGGCTGTTTGGCTGTGCTCATCCTACTGCCGTCCCTGAGCCTGGCACAGTATGACGGCTGGCCCTACCAGCTCCAGTACCCCGAGTACTTCCAGCAGCCGGCTCCCGAGTACCACCAGCCCCAGGTGCCCTCGGACGTGGTCAAGATCCAGCTGCGCCTGGCGGGCCAGAAAAGGAAACACAATGAGGGCCGCGTGGAGGTCTACTACAACGGCCAGTGGGGCACCGTGTGTGATGACGACTTCTCCATCCACGCCGCCCATGTCGTCTGCCGGGAGCTGGGATATGTGGAGGCCAGGTCCTGGGCCGCCAGCTCGGCCTATGGCAAGGGGGAAGGTAAACTGCTCTGAGCTTTGGGACTGCACGCATGTCACCCGGCAAGACTGCCAACAGCCTTGCATGAGGTTGAGCTGGCAAAGGAGGCTGTGGCTGGCATGGTGTAAATTCCTGGTGGTACTGCCCGCCCGTGATGGCTGCACCCTGAAGGAAGTGGGAGGGAGGCCTCCCCGGGTGGGTAGAGGGACCAACTGTCCTGATGGCCTGGGACTTTTCCTGGTTTCAACATGCAAAGTCTTGAACAGTTTCAGGCAAACCAGGACATCTGGTGACCCAATGTGGGGCAGAACCGGTCTGTGTGTGTCTCTGTGAGCCAGACACCTATGTGGGGGCTGCATTAAAGCCCAAGGGAAGTCCTGCCTTCCTCCAAATCACTCCCTAAAAGCAGCACCTTTTCCCCTTCCCACAAGACCCCCACGGGCTAGTCCTCTGCCCAGGTGGACTGCATCACCTAACACTAACGTGCTCTTGTGGCCTTGGTCTTGGTGGGAACAGAGACGCTTCAGAGTTTTCACCCATGACTAACCTAGTTTTTCCTCCCTTAAAGTGCAAATTGGTTCATTGAAACAAAAAGCAGCAAAGTTGTCAGAGCGGTGGGAGACAGGATAGGTCTCACAGCCCCTAAGCCTTGTGCTCAGTTCTGGTGCTGATCTACCTAATGACAGCCGTGCATTGCTTAATGATAGGGAAACGTGAGTTCATTGTTGTGTGACCTCTTAGAGTGTACTTAGACAAACTAAGACAGCCGTGAGGTCACTAGATTGCAGGATAGAATCCTATGTGGCCACTGTGTGCATTGTTCGCCATTGCAGGAATGCTATATGGTACATGTCTCTATGTGCTACACAGAGTGACATGTATCCTCTTTGGTCTCAGTTCCCCTGTCTGGAAGTTGGACTAAGGACTCTTGAAACCCTGTTCCCAAATGGGAAAGTAGGTATCAGTGAAGGGCATCACTAAAAATATATTTTTTCAAGAGCTAATAGTCCCTGTCCCTGTCTAAAACAAAGGCAGCTACTCACCAGCTGTACTGCTGGGCAGGCGGGGGCATATCAGGCTGTCCACACGCCCCTCCTGGGAGCTGGGTGATGCTCCTGGTCATGCTGACTGTGTAAGACTCTGCTGAGGGGCTTAAACATCTCAGACCTCAACCTATGATGTTCTAGTTTCAAAGGTCTAGACCGGGACTTGGAAGTCCAAAGCTTTTGGAAGCTTGTGACACCTTTACATGTGTAACCAGGTGTGGGAGGCAGTAAAATAATAGGCAACTGTTAGGCTTCCTTACAACCTTTCTTTCTGTTATTCCAGAAATGACAGGAGAAAGGAGGCACCATCTCGTGTATACCTCACCTCCGTGTAATGGAAAATTTCCAGTTGGGAGAACTGGCTCAAAAGCCAGCATTAGTGCTGGGCGTGGTGGCGCACACCTGTAATCCCAGGATTCAGGAGGCTGAGGCAAGAGGATCGCCATGAGTTTGAGGGCAGCCTCGGCTATATAGTGAGTTCAAGGCCACCCTGAACCATTCAGCGAGACCCTGTCTCAAAAAAGTCAGAAGCCAGCATTTAAGAGTATGATGTTCTTGGAGAACCATTCTGAGCTCCTTAGCATTGTGAAAGCCAAGATGAGCTAACATAATTTAGCCAAGATGAGCTAACAGAACCCATTCAGAGCCCATTTCCTGTCTCCTTTAAATTTTCAGCTCTACTCCATGCAGCACATATGCTTATTCTGCTACTAAGTGACCCAAGGGTAGCCTCGAGCTCACATTTTCTATTGCAGGCTCTCCAGTCCTCATCATTTTATGACAGTACTCCCCAGTGACAGCGGGATGTTCTTCCCCCAGTGACAACTTTATTTCTACCCAAATTTGAAGCCCATCTGTCATCAGATAAGGTGGTTGTGGATTTTTCCCAGCAAGACTAGGCATAGGGTAGCTGGGCAGGTGGGTGCACCTGGGAGGGACTTTGCAGTCTGAGGATGACGAGGGGCAGAGAGTTGAAGACAGTAGAGCAGACATGAAAGGAAATGACTGAAATCATGAGCAAGGAGTGGTGGGCAAGGAGGAAAGGAATTAAAGGGCTGTGCAGAGCTGCCGTGATGGACGGATTCAGGCTCTCTGCTGAGATTCCCATAGGAGCAGGAATACCACAGAGAGCGGGTGGGAGGAAGTGCGGATGCAGGGGAAATGGAGGTGGGGGTGAGGTTGGCAGTGATGAGCCATCGGCTATGATCGGGGAGCCGCTGGAGTTGGGTGGAGAGAAGCCACTGGAGGGAGGAAGTATAGCGACTAAGGGGCCACGAGTGCTGGAAAGGCCGTCCGTGTGGACGCTGAAGCCGTCAAGGCTTGTGGCAGGAATAGTTCAGGAAAGGGACAGAAAGGGATGCCAGACAAAATTGAGGGCTGTCCTGGGTCTGGAGTTCACGTTAAGCCGTCTGTATAAAGTGGTGCTTTACATCGTGACAGATCTGCTACATAGAGATGTATTTGAATTTCCTTAGTGTCAGTCCCGGGTTTTGTTTTGTTTGAGCACTGGGTGTATAGTAGGTACTTATTTTCTGAGTACTAGCTGACTGATTCGTTTTGGTTGGGAGCATATCAAAAGAAACTGCCAAAACAGTACCTGGTCAGGGACCACAGAGCGTGCGCCGGAGTTGCCCTGAGCCTAAGGTGCAAGTCAGGCCCTGTGGATGGGCTGGGAACCCTGCGGCTGACCCTGTGTCCCCAAACTCCTCTGAAGCCCAGGCTGAGGTAATGAAGCCAAGGTGAGCAGCGGGGCCTCTGGGGGTTTCCAGTCTCAACTCTCCGCATCTCTGCTCCCAAAGCACCTCTGAGCCCAGGTCAGCCCTGGGTCCTTTTAGAGAGTTCTAGAAGGGACAGATGGCCTGTTCTCACCCCAAGGTGGCTCTCAGGGCAACTGACCCAAAGTAGGAGCTCTCCACACAACTGCACCCTGCTCCTGAGGAAAGCAGCAAAGCAAGTCCCTTCTGACAAAGCCGGAAGCCTGCAAATTCTAACTTAAACAAATTCCATCACCCTGACAGAGCCTAGGGACCTGGCTTTCAAACAGCATTTCTTTTATGACCTCTGTTATCCAAAGGACCTGTTAATTTGTTCATACATCTCTTCTTTCTTTGGGAGAGGCATTTTTTTTTTTTAGAGTAAATGAGTGGACAGGAGGCTGAGGCAGGAGGAGCACTGTGAGTTCGAGGCCAGCCTGGGCTACATAAATGAGTTGAAGGCTTCACTGTACTACACAAAAAGACTTTGTCTCAAAAAAAAAAAAAAAAACAAAACTGGATGTTGACATACATTACAAAACAATAATGTCTCACCCTGAACCACTGAAAAAAGATCTATAATTATAAACACTAAGTTAAACTAAATATTGATCTGTAGTAAATATGTAATAAATAGAACAATTTAGTCTCCACTAACAATAGAACAGTATTCAACAGTAAAAAAAAAAATAGAGTAAATGAGTGGAAAGAGCAAAGTGCAGTTTTACTTTTGATTGAATTTTCTTTCTTTTTTTTTTGTCCTGAGTGTAAGCCTCATCTTGTGTCCCAAATATTAATCTGCCAGCAGCTAGATGCCACCTAGATGCCGAGAACCAGCTCAGGTTTCAGCAAGCAGACTCAGCAGCTGGCTGCAGTGAACTCAAGACAGTAGCTCATGGGTAGTAGCCATACGGGAAAGGGGGAGAAAAACATTGCCATGAAATCAAGCCATATAGCACACTGTGCGTGGTGTGCATTGTCTTGTGCTAAGTACAGATTTACATACCCAACATCGATCTAAGTGACCCACCAAGAACATATAGAGGGTAGGATTATTGGCAGTCCAAGATGGTATGGAAGACTGCAACTATTTTGGGTAGCTCGGTTTCCTCATACTCCAGGGTGCCGATTTTATATGCTCCATAGCAGAAGGTGGAGCCAGTCCCAGCTGGCTGGGCATATCCAGGTTTGCTGCTGAGCACAGTTTTTTAAAAGTGCATCTAGCTACTTCCGGTCCCATGACAAGGGGGCATCTCTTGCTGTAGAAGGAATAAGGACACCGCTTCTTTTCACCCTCCGCCCCTCTCCCTCTTAGCTACAGAGCATTCCAAGCAAGAGGCCCTGTGTAGAAGGCAGAGGGTCTTTTCCACTGCTGGTACTTAGTAACACAAACACAGGCTTGTTGTAGAGACAGAAATCGATTAGGGAGCATATGTTTCAGCAGGGCTTGACGGCTTGAAAACCAGGCCAGAATAAGAAACCAGTTGGAAGTCCTCAGCCCAGATGTTTTCAATAAACTCTTTGTTCCCACAACACGTCCAAAGCATTTTCCTTTGAGCCCTGAACAGCCATCCATCAGAGCAGATGCGCTCCAGCCATGCCTGGGAGTCAGGAGACAGCCTCCGAGTCCTCCCTGACCTTAAAGAACCCCAGCCTCATGCCTCAGTTGCCATCTCTACCATGGGTGTGGTTTTATCTGCTTTTGCTTTGCATCGTGGAACCAGTAGAATGCATTGTTTTCCGACACCTGGAAGGAGGAAAGGAAGTTGGAATGTGTCCTCACACTTCCCGTGTGTCATTGGATCTCCATGGCAACCTGTTTGTTGGACAGGGTTTTTGCTTTAGAAATGAGCCGTGGCAGATGGGACATGAACCCGGTTCAAGCACCTAGCTGTTCTATAGGCTTCTAAAGGAGCCACGAGAGAAATGAGAGACTTGGTTTTGTTTTCTTTCAGTTTGTAGTGACATTTATAAAAATCCCTGGTTGAAAACCCTCTTAACGCCTTTATTTTTGATTGTGGTAAAATGCACGTAACATAAAATGCACATCTTAACCACTTTGAAGTGTACAGTTCAGTATAGTTCCGTACGTTCACACTCCTGTGCAGCTGATCTCCAGAACTTTTTCATCTTGTAGAACTGGAACTGTGTTCCTATTAAATAACCACTCCTCACCCCTTCTCCCAGGTCTTGGCAACCCCGCTCTACTTTCTGTTTCTAGGACTTTGGCTTCTTGATGTGCCTCATATAAGTGGAATCGTCCAGTATTTTTCCTTGCATGACTGGCTTATTCCACTTAGCGTACTGTCCTCAAGTTTCCTCCTTGCCGTGGGATGTGGCAGAATTTTTTTTTCCTTTTAAAGGCTATGCTATTGTATATATAGACCGAAATTTGTCAGCACACTCTTGGATTCCTTCTACCTCTTGACAGTTGTGAATAGTGCTGCTTTGAACATAGATCTGGGTGTGCAGATATCTCTTTGAGACCCTGCTTTCAGTTCTTTTGGATGTGTACCCAGAAGTGGAATTGCCCGATTCTGTGAGTTTTAGTTTTAATTTTTTGAAGAACCACCATACTACTTTCCACAGCAACCGTATGCCATGCGTTCCCCCCAGGGGGTGCACAGGGCTCCGGCTCCTTCACGTCCTCACCAGCTCTTGTCAAGCTCCGTGTTTTTGATAGTAGCCACCCTAGTAGTGGCGGGAAGGGTCTCACCGTGGTTAACCCTCAAGCACATCACACAGTTAATTCGACTTAGTGCAAGTGAGATAAAAGACCGGGAGGCGGGCAGAGTTCCACAGTGGCCTTGCAGAATGTGACGAGGTGGTTCTACAGCTTAGGGTGGCTAGTCCACCCCTGAAGTGAGAAGGGCGCTGAATGGGGGGAATGGAGGCCCAGGCTTCTTGACTTAGAGGGTGGCCTGGCACCTAGGAGGGGCCCTTTCTCTGAGCCAGAGCTCTGCATCTATGAAGTGGGAATGATCATGCGAATGTGCCCTTTCTTTGAGGCATGGAAAGATCCAGAAGATAATATGTGTGAAAATGCCTGAAAAACCGCAAACCCTTAACTCTAGACCAATTGATTTACCTCCCAGGGGTCAGAGGGCAGCCTCTGCTGAATATGGCAGAGGCAGCTGGCTTGTGCCCTAGTTCGTATAACAATAATCCTTCTCTTCTTTATGGTTACCACTTTTAGTGACTATGGATCAACAAGAAACTAGGCATGTGCTATATATTACACTAATCAGCACACAGTTCAGCAACGCGAGAGTCAATGTTACTTACCTGCACTTTTGATGGGCAAAGAAGCTTTGACCAACATCATAAAGCTAAGGTGGCTGGAGCAGAATTCAGACCCCGTAGTCTCCAAAGCCCCTGCTCTTTCCACTGTATCATGTAACTTCTAGGCTTAAACCTGATTCCTGTCCTGTGTTCAGTCTACCACTTTTCCAAATCATATCAGCTGCCTGATCTGGAAAGAGAATCCAGATGGCCCAAGATTCAATGCAATATCTTAACATAGTAAGAATCAGTTGTTAGCTACACACAGCTAGGAAAAGTCCTCTTTCCATAGAAGACACTGGTGCCCCAGACACCCAAACCTGCATTGACGTGGTGCTGGGTTTCTCTCCTCTGCTTCCCTTAGGGCCCATTTGGTTGGACAATGTCTACTGCACAGGAGGCGAGGCCACCCTGGCAGCCTGCACCTCCAACGGCTGGGGTGTCACTGACTGCAAGCATACGGAAGATGTCGGTGTGGTGTGCAGTGAGAAGAGGATTCCTGGGTTCAGATTTGACAACTCGCTGATCAACCAGATAGAGGCAAGTCCTGTGCTCTTGGTGATTTCCTTGTGCGAATGTTTTTCTTCTTTCATGTAACTCGCTTCTTGCCCACTGATTTCAAGAAGTGTGTGTGAACACTAAGGAGGGGGCCAACCCGAAAGCTCAGTTTCAGGGATTTCTGGAGGAGGGGATGTCATCATGCGGAAGGGCAACCAGGCACAGAGATGAGGAGCGTGGTCTGTGGCAAGCAGGGAATGATGGTCAAGACAATGTGCATCTCTCTAGTAGAACTCCAGCTGGGAAAGTAGGTATGAAACCCCTTCTGAGTCATGTGTGGGAGCTTGCCCTTTGGTTGGGAAATGTATTAGTTATCACTTGCTGCATAACAAATTCCTTCCGGATTTTTTCAGCCTAACACCACCAGCATTTATCATCTCACATAGCTTCCAGGGGTCAAGAAGCCAGTGGAGGCTTAACTACTTTATTCTTTCCCATGAAGCTGTATCCCAGCTGTCTTCTGGAGCTGGAGATCCCCTCTCCAGCTGGCTCATGTGGTGGAGGGCAGGCTTTGGTTTCTTGCTGGCTGCTGGCTGGAGCCCCCTGTTGCTTTCTGCACATCCTCTCCATAGGCAGTTTTAGTGTCCTCAAGACTTGTCTCCTCTGCCCTTAGTGTCTTCCCCCAGAGTGAGTGATTCATAGAAGTAAGAGGAACTACTGCACATGATCTTTGGTGACCCACTCTCAGAAGTGACAGCCCATCCTTTCTGCTCTAGTCTCTTGGGTGCACAAACCCATCCTGGTCCCCATCTGGAAGCTGACACAAAGGAGTGAATGCAGAAGGTGGAGATCACTGGGGGGCCCTCTTGGAGGCTGGCAACCATGGGACAGTTGTCCCCAAATAGCTGGGGACCAGAGTCATTTTACAGTTGCAGATACTGGAGCCTCACTCCTGACTTACTGAATGAGATTTTCCCACTATGGGACTAGCTTTTTTTTTTTTTAATGCTCACTCTGATGTTCATGGCTCAAGCTGACATTTGGAAGTGGCCAACAAGAAGGATTTGTGACCCTTCTACATTTATGGCTCAGCTTCAGATTGAGCTTTTCAAGAAGTTCTTCATCCACACAACTACATTAGCAAGCAATTCTTGCATTCCTCTTATATGCAAAGTCTATGGGCCTTTGGACAGGAGGAGAGGGCTGCTGAGACTGCTGTCCTCAAGGAACATATTGGATGTCCCCCCTGTGGGACAGTGGGGTCTGCCGTGGACACAGGCCAAGGAATGTCATTGAGCCTTGGCCTCCAGCCAGTGCTAGCACTAAGGCTGAAGAAAGGTGACTAGAAATTGCCTTATTTGGGCTCCACAGGAAGTTTTCCCCAGACTGTAGTCTGTGCATTTTTTTCTTGTGACTCACAGTGCCTGCTCCTCTCTCCTGCTTCCCAGAGTACACCAGGCCCACTAGGAACTGGTCCAGCCTGAAGTAGGCTTGGGAGGGATTCCCATCCTTCCCTCAGCTGGAAGGGAGAGACCACTTCTAGCTGACACTTTCAGATGTGCTCTTTTATTTGTGATAACCAGAGCATGTGCCACGGAGTAGACTTTATTTCAGTGGTCCCCACCTCTTTGGCACCAAGAACAAGTTTCATGGGAGACAGTTTTTCCATGGACAGAAAAGGAGAAAAGGCAAGGGAGTGGGATGCTGATTTCACCATGATTTAAAGGAGCATGAAACCTGGGTCCCGCACATGTGCGATTCACCATAGGGTTCACGTTCCTATGAGAATCCAATGCCCCTGCTGAGCTGACATGCGGTGGAGCTCAGGCGGCAATACCAGCGATAGGAGTGCCTGTAAATACAGATGAGTTGTCACACATTTGCCTGTCACTCGCCTCCTGCTGTGGGGCACAGTTCCTAACAGGCCCATGGCCTAGTAGGGTACTGGTGCATGGTCCAGGTGTTGGGGACCCCTGCTTTATTTAATAACTGAACATCGCTGAAGACAACTTTGCTCCATGGTGGAGTCGGTGATTTTGGGAGTGGGCTTGTGCAACCCAGTGTCACAGAACTTCCCATCTCTACTCTTTATGATCTTCTGTCGAATAGTTAGCACACACTATTAAGTATCTCATCTCTCTGAGGAGGCCAGAAGCCCCTGAGGAGCAGGAGCTGTGTCTTAGTCATCACTGTATCCAACAGATAAACCTAGGTACCGCATGTCAACCGTATCTTTTTTCTCCTCAGGAATACAAACTAGAGTTCATTATTCTTTTAGGTAGACAATCCCCCAAAACAAAATATTAAACTGAACAGTGACACGTAGGAGTGGGTCATTGCTGCACAGCATTGCCCTGCCTGATAAGACAATGAGCTCATTCCCAATGCCTTTAATGGGTCCCCATTAAGCATAGAACATCAGAAGAACCACTCAAAGTGTCAAGTAAAAGCCAGGCTTTGGGCACTAGACAGGCTTCTTGAATAAGAAGAAGATGGGCCAGAACATCAGTGGGCCTGGGGTTGAGTAAATGGGAGGATGATCCGGGGAAAAGAACTCTGAGTGGCATTTAATTAGATACATGTGTGTGGAAGACTTACTGTGTGCTAGTTCCAGTGCTTAGTGTTTGCAGGGGAATTAAGGGGGATTGCATCAAAAGCATCAAAAGAACTCCATGGGGGGAGAGAGAGAGACTCAAGAAGAGAAAATGTTGGGGGGAACTTTCTTGTTCTGGAAGGGTTGAGACTGCGTGACAGGAAAACATAGGACCCACCTTTACTCTTCATTCTGGACATTTCTGCCACACACATCATGATCTGGGGCATCAGCCAGGAGGTAGATGTGGTCCCTAGCACCTGGGAAGTCAGATCCATGCCCGGGGTAAGCCGGAGGGTCACGCCAGGCAAAGTACACAGGTGCCAATGAATTGACAGTAACCAGGGCAGATATCTGGTTTGAAGGACCAAGTGACATTCACAGCCTTCGCACTTTATTTTTTCCTAGAAGGCCTCCCTCATGCTGTCTTTCAGACCAGACTGGTGACCACAAGCCAGGACAGAGCTTTCTTGTCCAGCCACAGATTCGGAGGGGATGGGTCACCTTCCAGAACTCCCCTTTGGTGTCTGCTGAAAGTAGGTCATGCAGGGCCTGAATTCAGGATGCCCAAGGAGAGACTTTAGGAGTTGTCAGTTGCTTCCTGAGCTTTGTGGCTAAAACTCATGCTTCCTGGCATCGCTGGCATCATGGGGAGGGAGCCCCCTAGACCACCTAAGGCAGATGTCTGTGGGATGCTGAGAAGTTTCTCCACAGTACCTCACGGAATGGCCTGTGTCAGTAGCTGAGATCATGGAATCATTCCTTTTAGCTAAAGAAATGGGCCCAGAAGCATTTTTGTGGACAAGAGAAAGAGACAGCTTTGGTGGACATGCCCGTAGGTGGAGTCATGGAGTACTGACTAAGGATACCCAGGGGGAACTGGTGAGTAATTTGCAATAAACACAGTGGATGGCCTCTGATGGTGTGCCCTAGGGCTCTGCCCCTACCTACCCATCATGTGTCGGGAATCTGCACGGAAATTAAAATGTGGACTGGTAAAATGTAGAGGAGATACAAAACTAGGAAGGATTGCAGAGATATAAAATCATGGAATGGAGAAAGATTCAGGAAACTACAAGAGGTTTGAAATCATAGGCCCAAAGCGTCACAATAATGATAATATATTAGGGATATATGTTACATTTTGGACCCACGGGATTTTTTTTTTTTTTTTGGTACTGGGAATCAAACTCAGGACTTTGTGCTTGCCAGGCAGGCTCTTGTGCCACTGAGCTATATCCCCAGCCCCACAGGATATTAAATATATGATTCTATATCAAGGTTCATGGGAAACAGAAATCAGCTACAAGAGGGCAGGCATTACAGAGACTGAAAAGCACTGATTGTTAAAAACAAACACAAAACAAATCGGAGAAGGTGTCAATTAGTTTGAACACCATATTGTAGGAGGCAATGAAGTTTTTTTGTCAAGAAGAGAAGTATGGGAGGGGTATGGCAGTTCTCTTCAGATATTTAAAGAGCTACCATGAAGACACATGTTTATCATTTATTCCAACTCAGAGCATAGGCCAAACGGCAGCTAATGAGGGGTAGATTTCAGCTGAGGCGAGGCCCCACACTTTCCTCCAGTTGCTGGCCGTGTCCAAACAGCTCCTGGTCGATGGTCACTGGCCTGACCCCCTGCCAGGAATATTGCGGTCAGAATCCTGCTTGGGGAAGGAAGTGGAAGTGATTGCCAGATTGTGAGATCGCTTGTTACTCTTCATCTGTGGAAATGGGCCTATACCAAGTTGGGGGGTCTTTGGCTGTACAGGCTGTTGTGTAAATTGGTGCAAGCGGTGTGTGTCACACACACAGAAGGGATGTCAGCTAGTGTGTGTATAGTGTGCTCTGTCCTTCTCCCTGCCTGTTCTTGACCTGGAAACCAGGTGCAGACTTCACGTCCTTACTCTTCTACATCTAAGGGAGAGGGTCAGAGTCCTTCTAACAATCCCCAGTTTGAGGCCTCTGATTTCAAAAGTGATCAAAAGTGAAGTGTGACCAAAAATGGTCATTTAATGCTTTCTCCACGTCTGTGACCCAGCTGTGAACCCCTGGACTAATGAGCCCGTGAGGCATCCCCATCTCTTCCCACTCCTCCTCTGCAGTGACCGTCAACCTCGTTAATGCTTGGAGATCGTAGACGGGTCACAGGCTTACCGATGACCCTCACAGATTTGTGCCTCCTCCTGAGTGCAGCAGAACTCCCCAGGCGGAGAGTGGAAGAAAATACCGTGTGGGTCTAGACCTTGCTCATCCCCTCAGGGGTGCCAGAGGTGTGAGTCACAAGCCCTGAGCCTGGCCGATGGGATTTCAGCCAATGAGAAGCCAATCATGCTTCCCTGCACTCCTGTGGCCACATGGGGATATCACTGGGGGCTCCTTGACACCTTGTAGTCTGCTACAGAGGACACCCTGTATTCTTCTCTGGAGGAGGAAAC